GCCCGTTAGGCGCGCGGCGGCCGTTGGCGCCGCGCGGGGCCGCCCCCCTCCCCGGCATGGCCGCCCAGGTGGCTCCGGCCTCCTCCGCCGGGGAGCCCGCGTCTTTCTTCCTCCGCCGTGGGCCTGGTGGCCGCCGTCCTTTCGCCGTGAGAAGGGAAGGAGCGGGCCCGCTGGGCTGCCTGCGGCGCTGCCGGCCGCCGGGAGAAGCTCAGGCGAGCAGGTGGCCCTCCTCCGCGCCGCCCTGGAGCCCGGCGAGGCCCTGGCCCGCAGAGGCTGGCGGGTGAGAGGCCACGGTCCGGGTGCCGGGGCTGCCCGGGCAGGAGGAGCCTGCTTCACCGCTGCGGCGGGAAGGGGGGAGACTGAAGGGAGGACTCGCTTAGACCAGAGGGAGGGAACAAATAACTGTACGGCCTAAGGCTTCAGATAGTCAGAATGAGATGGGAGATGATGTAATTTCATGTTATGACAGATTGTTGCTCATCTCCCTTTACCGTCTTAAGGAAATGACATGTTTCATTTATCAAGCTGATAACAGGGTACTACAGTACCCTAATTCAGAAGTCCCAGTTTGCCTTACCTACTGCCAGTGTGCAGGGGACCAGGTGGCTTTCTTAGTAGAGGTTGGCCTAAGTTCTGGTGTGTCTCTGGATGGGAGTTGATGGAAAACATTAATCCAGTTTCCTTGACTTGAAAGGAATTATTAGAGCCCGTTCCTGTACTTAAATAACAGGAGCTGCTGGCAAAAGAAGCATTTCCCTTGTTATGGTGCTGTCTGACTTGCTCACTAATGCAGCACCTCATTGTTTGGATGGTTTTCTGAATACAAACATGGCTGTGGCTTTGTGATACAGAATTGTAATAAAGCCTAGACCAGCATATGGGGAATACTCTGCTGGTGATGAAATAGTATGTGGTCTTGTGCATGGCAGCTGATGTGGCTGATAGACAGCAACAGAGTATTTGTTAGCTGTAACTGATGAACCCAAATCTCCAACAATATTCTGTGTGCAAACTTAGCGAGCTCTTCATTTCAGGAGAAATCCTGTTGGGCCAGTCTTGCATTTTGAACTTGAAATTTGGTTGACGTGTCAGTTTGATCTGATTGTGAGGGGCCTGTGAGTGATGCTGTATGGCATCCAAGTTTGTCTTCCAGGCTATGCTCTCCTACAGTGAGCTCACTGTGTAAATGAGAAGCATGGCAGACTTCCCCCATGGGACTGCTGAGGTGTTAACATCTGACACATGGGCATACTAATTCTTGTGACCACAGCTTTAATACCTGTGAATGCAGAAGGCTCCTTAAAGTTAAGATTAACAAAATGCCTTATTATTCAGGTTGTGGAGATGGAGTGGTGCGTGAATTCAACCTGATGGTTTGCATCTCTCCCCCTGCCCCCCTTCTCTGTTTATGGAGGGATGAAAGGGGTGAACTTCTTAGGCAAGGTTTGAGGTTTTTGATATAGGCTGGAACAGCTTAAAAATGGAAAGTCAATAAACCTGGCTTTGGAGTAAGAGCCTGCTCTAACTTAAAGTGGACTAGGCTTCTACTATCCTCCCAGCTATAGGCATTGATTAATAGTCTGCTGTAGTTAAAGCACGGCTTTGTTGCTCATCCGTGGAGAGCATGGACTCAGCAGTCATGCTGACAACAAGATTTTAACATCAGCAGCACCCAGAGTATTCAAGTGCAGTGCAGCTGGGATTTCTGGATTAATTCTGTTTTTCAGTAAAGCAGATTTGTATTCTTCTCTGATACAAAAAGGAAAACCCCTTCTTCCACTATCTGCAAAAGCTTCTGTGAGTGACATCTGTAAAGCAAAGTAGACATGACAGGTAGCTAGATGTGACCCCTTTCCTAACACACCTCTTCACAAACTGACTGGCTTCTGAAGAACGGCTACTCTCAAGGTGCTTTACTGGTCCCTCTCATGTCCCTGCTGGTGGACAGAAGGAGCAGTGCTGCAGCAGGCTTAAGTATGTGGTCTTGAGATGGGTGACTCATGTCACTTGCAACAGGGTTTGACTATGGGACATAATGCCTTTTATAGCAGAAGCTAATATAAACTGTTAGAAAGCTGGTGTTGCCAAAGCTTTCCTCTTCTCTAGCTGCCTGTCTATTATTTAAGTCAAAGCAAATATTGAAAACTTCTAGCTTCAGATGCAGGTGATAGTTTTAGAAGTGGTGTCTGCTAGGGAGTTCAGGCAGTTGAACCTTCAGTCTGTTTATGCTAGCTTCTGTATTAAAAAAAAAAATAGGAACCCAAACCACTAAATTATGTAGTAACCATTGGCAGTCAGCTGATGACTGGGTTAATCCAAGTTCAAGGGTGACTTGATATGTGTCAGAAATCATATTTGCAGCTAAGGTCTACACCATCTGGCAGATTTGATTAAAGCTATCCTATCTACTGCTGAGAGCAGTAGACTCCTTTCAGCACTGTCCATGGTCAGTAGCCTCCATTTTGAGGTAATACCTGGTGATGGGAATCCCTGCTGCACTAGAGGCTTTCATTATTACAGCCTTTTCTCTTACTTGGCTCTTGGCAACAGACATCTGCTACCAATGTATTCGTTGAATGGAGCATGCGCTTTTCTGCTGGAATACAATACAAGTAAAATGAGGTCTTTTGTGTGCTCAGGGAGCTTATAGTTAAATATTCGGGTGGGAGGGGGGAAACAACCAACTGGTCAGAGGTTTCCCCCAGTAAGGTGCTACCCAAAGAAAATATTAGTTAACAAAGTTGCAAGATCCTCTAACAGTGTGACCAGATGGTCTTGGTGGTGGGAGGTTCCCCTTCTCTTAACAAAGATGATTTGGTTTTTATATGAAAGCTTGTCACTTCACAGTTAACATGAAAGACAACTATGGAATTCAATCAGACAGGTCGAGTAGCTTGTTTTGCCCCCACTACTGTCTTCCTTCCTCCAGGGAAATTAAGCTCCCTGGGAAAACTTTCAGGACTTCTCCCTAGTTCAATATTTTTTTAACTTTAGCTAGAGTAAGCACCTTTGGACCCTGCATTGTTTTTTACTCTCCCACAGCAACTTTAGCTGATATTAGAGATGACTCACAGGGTAATGCCTGATTGTAGCCAGGACCAGGTCTCCAATGGTGGATGGTGTGTGACCAGCTGTAGGTATCATGCCCTCCCACTTTCCTCTTGTTCTATGCAACAGCAAACCTAAGGTCCCTGTGGCCATATGGCCAACACATCCCAGGGCTGGACTTCCTTTTGCAGAATATGGTAGTTATGCAGCTGGACAGCAGACTTAAAGGTGAGAAGAGGATGGTTTAACTGGCAGGTGCAGGAAGCGGAATCCATAAAGGTCTGGTGGTGTTACAGTGTAGAGGTGTGAGAAGCTATACCAAAAACCAAGCTGTAGGATTTGAAGGTTGGGAGGAGTGAGGCTTGACTGAGGAACTAGTGATGTAAGTAGGTTCAGGGAGAAGCTAGCATGGATTGCTGTGTACAGGGACACTGAACTTTGTTGGTGGGAATGGGGAAAAAAAGGAATGCATACTATGTCAGTACAGGAGTTGGGGAATGTGGAGAGACAGGAAAACTTACTGTTTCAATCTCTTTCAGACTCAGAGTAGCTGGTGTGGAGTGTTAGCTACTGATGTTACAGCAGAGTAGACTGAATATCCAAGATGCAAGGATGGAAGAACTCAACAAGTGGAGGCTGCATTTCTGAAGATAGCTACATTGGGAGGGAAAATGTCTTATCAACAGGGAGATGTAATGCCAGGTGTATTTGAAGTCACAGGAACTTACGAAGACCTTCACATAGGTTTATGCATAAGAATGCTGGTGCAGGACCCTCTGCTTGCTTGTTAAATATACTTGTGACTAGTTTGACTCTTGGCTCCTCACCTGCATGGCATTCTTTAATGGGGGGGAATAGCTTACTAGAACTTACTGTGGGTGATTGCAGAAGCTGGCATTAGTTAACTCCTGCACTGCAAAACTAACCACCATGTACATATGGCAGTAACCATATTGCTTTGTTAGCTGTTGCTGACACAACTCTAATGCTCTGGTCTGTTAAGCTGGGGAGAATAAAGCAGTTATCTTTTATATGCATAATCTGAAATGAAGCTTATATTAACAGCTTTCCTGATGCTTGCATTGCCATGAGGGTGAAGTTGAGGAATGTTGAAGTGGCTTGTACTTGCTTTGGAAAAGAAACTGTCAAGAAGTAGCAGATTAGCATTTTCTGTCTCTGCCTGAGATACTTGTTTGCCTCTTGCTAGCATGCAAGTATTTATTGCTTGTAATGTCTTTCAGTTCTGCTGAAACATTCACTTTTTGACCAGAAAACATGGTTAATGGCATGTAAGGAGCTCTAAATTCCAAAGAATATTGTCCAAAAATGATTGGTGTGACTAAGTGCAACAAACAGTCCCGAAGCTTTAAAGTACTGGGTGTTACTTGTGTAGCCTGTATGTGTAGCATTGCTTTGGCTGGTGATGTTACATGTCGATTCACTTGGCAAAATAAGTAAAATAACTATCCTATGAGGTTGCATTAGAAAGCATGCTGTAGAGTAAACCACACAGCATCATTTTCATGTTAGCCATTGATTGGAACAGGCATCAAGCTGGAGGAGTGTGCAAAGGCTTGTGTCCTTTTCAAATTTTGCAGAGGAAAGTCTGTCCCAGAAGAAAATGGAAGTCTTCCTGCCAAGGCAGAAATGAGAAAATGGGATTATTGAAAACCATAAGGATCACATTCAGGGGGTAACACTAAACAGAGCTGCTGGAGTTGAGGATCATAGGCTAGATGAATTTCTAGCTTATGTTTCCACAATTCATTGAGTTGGGGTGACTGAGCATTGTGGTCTTTCCTAATTGAAGAGTCATAAGACACTGGCTGATGCTAGCACTGATGAAAGCAATTCATACTGAAACACTTACATGATGGTACAAATACCCCAGTTAAGTGAAGTGTTTAAAGAGCTACCAAAATGGTTAATGTGTTAAGGCTGAGAGCAAGCCAGCTTTGGGATTAGTCTAAATCCTTTCAGAAAGGAGGGGAAAAATCAATTAATGTGTTCGATTCTTTTTTTTATAGTCTGAATTTGAGGCGGAACTGAAATCTGCTGGTGAGAAGCTTATAGTAGTTGATTTCTCTGCCACGTGGTGTGGACCATGCAAAATGATCAAGCCCTTTTTCCACGTAAGTAGCCTTTCTGTTTTTATTGGCACTGTATTAAAGCATATACAAATGTTTTGGTGCTGCTTGACAGTAACATGGAGGAAACTTCCTTTGCCACATGTGATTGCCACCATTTTCTGGAAAATGGAGGAGTCACAGAAGTATTTACTTTGAGACTATTGAGTTAAATATACTGACCTTTGATACAGCTAGGAGCTCAAATGTGGTTTAACTTTTGCTGTCCTAATGCTTACATGCATCTTGGGTCTATAGGGACCTAGCAGTTGCATTGCCTCAAAAGGTGGGATGTAGAGGGGAAACAATGCTTATCCTTCTGTACACAGTTACTGTAATCACTCTAGCTGTGTGTAGGTGACAATGTTATCTCCTGGTAAACTGTGATACAAGCTGTAGCATCTTTAGATGATCAGCTGAAGGCTGTAAGAGAAGGCCTTTCACCTGTGTCTTGGGATATTTGAGTCTTCTCTGTGGGGAGTGTGTTTGAACAAGTTTCAACAGACTCTTCCAGGTATTGGAGCAGAAGATAAAATTTTTGCTCTGGTCAGTAAAATAGCTGCTTTAAGGTAACAAGACAAGTTTCACTGCGGGGGGGTAAGCAGCACCAGCCTTACAGTTTATATGAATGTGTCTTTTAAAAGAAAGCTTTCCTAGAATGCTAACTGCATAGTTTCTTATTCCATTCTAGAGTTTGTGTGAGAAGTATGCTGATGTGGTGTTCATCGAAATTGATGTGGATGATGCCCAGGTATGGTCCAGGGTAATGCTGAGAGAGGGCAGCTAATGAGTTCCACACAAGTGACAATGAAGAACTCTTTTTAAAATGTGCTTGCAGATGCTGAAACAGAATGAGAAATTACTTCAACTTTGAGAAGCAGAGATAGGGGTTTAGCACTTACACTGGAAAGAATGCATTTTTAGAGGACACCTGAGCAGAACAAACCGCCTTGGTTATCAGCACACTTGAAGGCCTATGGCATGTGTTAGATAACTTGGGAACACTGACCCTCTACTTTGGGAGGGAGTTAGTCTAAGGCCTTAAGCTGCTTTGATGCAATCTTCCCTAAAACTAATTGCTCACAACTGTCTGGTGATCTGTCTGTTCTCTCCACTGCTCTTGGCACTGTTTCTTCTTTCGTGTCTTGAATTAAGTGCAATAAAACGTCTCCTGTATAGCAGTTCCAGCGATGTCGAATAGTTACTTGAACAATGTCAGGGTGAAGCACAAGAGTTGCTGTAGGGCTCTTGAGCCTTACAAATGGTCATCTCTGTTTTGATGCAGAGGTCTTTTTTTCTCAAACACAGAGTACAGGTATAGTAAATGTGGTTTTGTTGTTGCCTGAATTAAATGCTGAAGGAAGGATCTTCCAGGCTTACTTCAGGGAGATGTTAATACTGCACTGTGTTTGCTAGTGATAGACTACCAGAAGTGCTTTTGCTTCATTTTGACCAGGAATGGCTTTGCCCTGTCACCTAAACAAAAGGCAGCTAGTGAGTTCTAAATTTGACATCCTTCAGAAGTGCACAGCTGAAGATTGTTTTCTGGCTCTTCCAGGACGTTGCTACACACTGTGATGTGAAGTGCATGCCAACGTTCCAGTTCTACAAGAAAGGAAAGAAGGTAGGCTCTACTTTTTTGGAACTGGAGCAGACAAGCTAAACACTTAAAAGAAGATTGGAAGTGTTAGACTACATAGCCTGTTTTCTCCTGATAATGTATCTGGGGCACCACTGGCATTAAGACACTCCCAAAAGCAAGGAAGTTCATCTTAGTGCTGCAATAAATATAACATGGACCAGCAGTTAACTGACAAAGCAAACACTATTGTTCATGGGTAGTGAACTGAGTTAGTGTTACAGTCAGTCTTCTACGCAGAGCTTTGCAAGAGATCAGTGGGGTAGATGTCTGGGTTAAGACTGCTAGTCTGTCTGCCTAGCAGCCTGCTTTTTACTGATCTGGGTCAGTATTTGTTTGCTGGATGCAGCTCATGCGCAAGCAGAGAGGTAACTGTATGTGCCTGTGGAAGTCTCTAACATGTGGTTGAACACACATACAGCTGAAGCAACTGCTTGGATGCTTTTACGTATGGGCTGTGTAACCTGTGAAGTGGATGTCCCCTCTCTGTCAGAGGACTGAACAGACCTCTTGTGCCTGCTCTGCCAAGAGGTGAATGAGGTGGGGTGCAGACCATGCTCTGACAGTGTAGTGGGCTGCCTGTGCAGGGTAGTTGTGAATGGCCATCTGCCTGAACTAAAGAACTGCTGAGCGAAATGTGCTATCTTGGGCTTTTAGTTTGCCAGGCAAGCTGAAGGTAGGCTTTTCGAAAGTAAAACAATGCCTGGATGGAAGTTTCATGGCTGAAAGCAATGGAATTGTGCCTGAAAAGTGAGTGCCAGATGTTGGGTGACCTTTGGTTCAAATCAGTATGGGCTCAAATCATGACTAATAATGAACCTTTGACAGTTGTCTCAGAGTAAATTTCCACAGCTTCATAATATAATTGGAAGAATTGTGATTATGATGTGACAGTGTGTGAAGGTGACAGGCTTAACCCTGTTGTGTGGCTTTTTATTTTGGGTGACCTTGGCAGTTCTCTGGACACATGACTATCAAGCAAGCAATGTCATGGCCTGTAGTGTAGTCTGCTCTGTACCTTGCACCCCTATACATAGTGGAAGACAGAGCCACTGTTTTCGAGATATGAATGTTGCCTTTTTTCTGCTGTGTAAGTTGCAACAAGGACAGTTATCACAGGAGAAGCCAGGCTCAGGGACAGGTTATTTGGAGCAATCCTTTCAGAATTTGATTGGTAAGAGTCCTGAGCAACCCAAAGTAACTTTGAGCTACCTCTGTTACACAGTGACCTCCACAGTCTCTTCAAGCTTGTATTTGAGTCTTACACAGCATTGATTCAGGATCAGTTGTCTTTTCCCTTGTTTTATGTGTAGAAGGCTCCAGGAGTGGTAGTCTGGAAGTGATTCTTCATAGACTCTTGTCCCAGTTTTTGCATGAGTTGAGTGGGAGATGAATAGATGAACATCTGCAAAATACTCTGTTTTGGGGGTGAAAAAATTTGTCATAGCAGAGTTGAATAGGTGTATATGTGTCTGGATGCTGTGCAACTAATGTTATGAAGTATTGAATGCAACAGCTCTAAAAATCACTCTCTCTTTACAGGTGCAGGAGTTCTCTGGGGCCAATAAAGAGAAGCTGGAAGAGACCATTAAAAGTCTAGCCTAATCTCCGGCCATGGAGACATTGAAGCATGACTGCTTCGGCTAAATTATAGCCTGTAACTTTTCTACTTAAAAAAATAAATCTAAACAAGCTAGCTAGGGTATGTGGTGGAAACTACCCTCTTGATCTATGTAAATGAGTACAATAAAGTGTAAATTCTTCACTTTAGGATATCCTCCTGTGTGTGAAAATGTGAGGAAGTTTGTAATGTCATCAAGGTGTCAGTTTTTGCTGTGCTAAAGCACTGTCTGGATACAAGGACTCTCATCAAATGCAACCAGATCTGTTACTGGGTTATTGCTGAGGGTGGAAAATTGTGTTGCACGGGATAGCAATGACAGTTGCTTTAGAAGTCTGCTGCCACCTTACTCAGGTGGTAGTCACCAGGCTATAATCTGAAGAGTGGCAGTCTGGCTTGCAGATACTGAAAGGGGAGTTTAGGAGTTGTAGAAAGGGTGGTCACTGGGTGGGATAGGTTCTTTTGTTACCTCTTTTTAGCTAAAGATTGCTTTAAAACTTGTCAAGCTTCCTTTTAGACTTCAAAGCTAAGACTTGGCTGTGTATTAAACATCAGAACATAATACCAGTCCTACCATGGAAGTGTAAGGCAGGACTTGGAGCTGCTGCCTTTTCACTTTTGCTTTGCTGTTCGTTTACCTTCTGGTTCTATTAGTAGGAAAGTCTGTTTAGTCTCTGAGTTGGGCTGCTTTGTTCCTAGGCAATAGTCTGGGACAAATGACTGAAGAGGTAAAACTCGTTGTGTCTTAAGCCCAAGGTAATTTAGATTTGTGTATTCTCGTCATCTTCATTTGACTGCACTCTTGTGTTCTTAGATCATGCTGGACAGTAAACTGGACTCTGCAGTCTTCCAGACCTGCATCGGGCTGTCTAATTAACGCTGTCCTGCCAGCCTCTGTATACCATTCAGCTACTCTTTCCAGAGTTACCAAGGAGAACTGTGTTTTTCCACCACATGAAAATGGCTTTCTTGCTGGCTTGGGTGTTGTCCTGGATAAGAATTCAGTAAATAAGGAAGCAGGGCTGTAGCTAGCAGCTATACCTAATGCTGTGGTGAGGGCTGGGTGAGCTGTGCTGCTCATTGAGTACCACTGATGAAGAAGCAAGGCTTTCTGCTCTGTATGCAGACAACATGGAATGAGTAAGCCTCTTGGCTTTGTGGTAGGGAGCTCATGTGTGACTCAGGCTTACACTCATTTCACAAGCATGCATGAATTTCAACAGCTTCCTGCGTGTGTCCCTATGTGAACCAAGATTTTTCTAGTCCAAGAAGTGACCACGCCCTTTAGCTGAGGATGAGCCATCAAGGATCTTCTCGGATGTAAGCTCTGGGTTGTGATTATGCAATGAGAAGGACATGCAAAATGTGTTCTGTGCAGCTCTGGCTCTTTGACTAAGAGTGCAGCTGTGTGTTTAAATGACTGTTCACACAGGTAAGTGGGAAACCACTACCCCGAGTGGTGCCATGGACTGACTTGTGGGGAGAGAATAAAATGAACCTGCGTCAGGAATGTGCCATTAACATCACACCATCTGCAAACAAGTGCTGCTTTTAAAAGGAGTTCCTGGGTCACCTCCTTATTCCCTCTGGGCAGTATCTGGGAGCAAGAAAGGTTTTGAAAATCCCTGGTGAAAAGTCCAGGTGGAGTTCAGTAGGAGCCCCTAAAATCCCACTTCGCTTTTAAGAAATATGGAAGTTACCAAGGTCTGCTGCAACAGAGTACTCCTGCTGAGGTGAGGCCAGACCAGGTCATTACCTACTGCAGCAAGGGAAAGGTGCAGTTAATGGGAAATGCTGCTTTTCTGTTGAGTTTGACTTAATGCTTTGATTACTCCCTTAATAAGATGGCACTCTGCAATAGCCCTGAAAGATCCAGGTGACAAAAGTCACTGGAAATTCAAGGTAGGATTGGGAAAGATCAGAAAGGCTGGAATGACTCTTGTGCTGAAACCAGGGGTGCAAAGCAGTTCTTAGCAGTGCAGTGAGTCTTCAGCTTCCTGGGCTGCAGCGTCTTCCTGTTCTGGGAACCGGTGTGTGGGCATGGAGTGATAGGAAAAAAACTTGCACAGCCTTATTTGAAAGGAGGTGTTCTTTAAGGCTCGGCTCTGAGGAATACGTAGCGAGGATCTGTGTGTTAGGTACGCTTTGCCTTTAAAGGAACCAGCAAGCATATTCAAATGCATAGTTATGCCGGAATTTGAGTATTTGAAGTTGGTCCTTGTCATTACAGGTGATGGAAAGCAAAGCCTACTGGTTATACCTAGCTGAGGTGTAAGGAGTCTCAGTTCCTGTAGCAACAGTGCCCCTGCTGGGAGGAAGGTACCCCAGTTCAGGATGGGGACTGGACTAAGTCTTCCAACAGGCAAGAACATGGGGCTTCAGCCTTTAACAAAGCCCAGATAGAGCACATTTTGCCCAAAATGAAATGGGTACAAATAGCCTTGCTGAAAATTCAGGCTGTATGCTTTGCCATGTGGGTATTAAGTAATACCCTGGAGGGGTCAGTGGGTGCATTTTTTTTTTTTGCTTGCTTGTTTTTTTGTGCGAATGAGTGAGACCGGTAGTATGATACACCAGACAGTAGTGCAGCAGTCACTCTTTCATTGAACTCTGTGATCTGCTGTTTGCGTGAACAGAACTGACTGCCTTGATCCAGTGATCGGAAAAGATGTCTTTAGGAGGGAAGTGATAGATGGCCAACTGACTTGAATGTTTGGAAGAAGCTTGATGCACATGGCAGAGAAGAAACAGCATGTAAAGGTTTCTTCTGGGAGTGAGGGCTTCAGGAAGAAGTTGTCCTCCCTTCAGGTAATGACTGCAGTCTGTTTCATTTGGCTATGAAATGGCTGGGATCTGTGCCTTGCTGCCAAACCAGTAGAGCAAGATGGTTTTGTCTGCAGGCCTGTTACATAGCTTGCTTCCTTATAGTAGGCTGGCCAGCAGGAAGAGAAGTACTTCCTTGAGCACAGCAATTGGAACACATGGCTGGAATAATTAGGCTTAATGAGAGGACTAACTATCATGAAAGAGAAGACAAGGGTTCACATGAGTGGATAAGGGAACTGTGTGTGGTTAGATTGCAGTGAAAGTGATGCTCCTTAACTCCATCTGTGTGCTCTGAAACTGCTGTTGTGCACTCAGGGAAGGATTCTCCTAACCACCTGCACATGTCTTCCACATCTTCTCTTGCAGCAGGCAGCCTAACTTCAGCTCCAGTTAACCATCTGCTTGTCATTCTTTCCTTGGCCTGAATGAAGTTAGACTTGGATTCCCCCCCGAATAATTCCAGTAAGAGTATTTGTAATTATTCTAATGTTTAAATTCTTACTGTTCATTCATCAAAACTAGCTGCATCTAGCAAGGACAAAACCCAACTTCTATTGTTTTACCAATGCCAACAAACTGTGGCATAGTAGCTCCTCTGTGCTGTGCTCTATGACATCCAACTTTCAGCCACCCAAGGAGTTGGCTTGAGGGATTTGCTGGTGAAATCCTTGCCAGACGAACTCTTGTAGTGCTGGTCCCTGACCCTTGGTGAGGGGACGGAGAGACTGACTGGAGGGTTGGCCTTGGCTGGCTGCCAGCTACCCGCTGAGCCCCTCTTACCATTGCTGATAATCGGCAGCACAGGACCGAGGGGGCACCAGGCTTAGCAGGGCCCTGGCTGTGGCATGGAGTCTCTGCTCTTCTGCTGAAGCAATAGCTGTACACCAGGTGTATCCCAGCTGCTGAAACCTTTATCTGTAGGTCTTCCTCAGTCAGAAGACCAAGCACAAAACCATGGCAGGAAGAATCTGATAAGGAGCTCTGGGGAGGCAGTGGGTGCTGTACTCAGTTTATCTGGGCAGAGGTTGGACCATATTGTGGCATCCTTATTTTCAATGGCGGTGAGAAGCATATCCAGCCAGATGCCTCCAGATTTGGTAAAGGATCAACTAGATGAGTTTGAGGAACTTGAAAAAAGTCTTATGGAGATGTTGGGAAAGCACATCCACATGAAATGCAATTTTTCCTCATGTGGAGAGGGAAAGCTGAGATGGTGCAGGTTGGTATATAGAGAAGGTCAATCATAGAATCATAGAATGCTTTGGGATAGAAGGGACCTTTAAAGTTCATCTAGTCCAACCCCCCTGCAATTGGCCAGGGACATCTACAACTAGATCAGGTTGAAGAACACATGGGAGCTGCATGAAGCCTTGTCTATACCTGCAGTTGGTGAAGACAAATTTGTGACAGATGCAAATCTCCACAAGGTGGCAGTGACTGTCTATACATATATTTATATGCACACTGGCTCTGGGAATGCCTTGTGCTTTTCTCTCTCTGGTAGCACTGGGGTGATGGTAGTATCTCTAGCTGATGTGCTAGAGGAGAATGCATGGGGGGTGGGTTCCTACCACCCAGGTGGCACCATCTGCCTGGCCCCCAGGAACTGGAGCATCTGGGGTGGGGTGGATGTGGCCAAGGTGTGAACAGACTCTAGGGAGGTGGAGAAGCCAGGCGTTGGGTCCAGCTGCAGCCACAGAGGAAGAGTTTTAGACCAGGCTTGGATCATCTGCCCTCCACTGGAGTCAGTCCATGACATTTCCTCAGGGAAGCAATCAAGTCTGTTTTTTCACTTTTCTTTGCCTCTGTTCCTGGTTCCTCTGAGAGGGGAGCCTGGGGGAAGAGCAAGGGCTGGCACCATGCACAGTCCTTGGAACTGTGACACCTGCCGGTAAGGGGAATGCGGTGGTCAGTTTTACCACCGCTTAGCAGGATGGCCCCAAAGGCTTTCAGCTTAATAGGAAGCAGAGCCCATGTTCAGGTAATGATGGGGGGCTGAGGACAGGGACAGGAGGCGTCTCCCCACACTGTAGGTAATGGCCAGCAGCAAGCTAAACTGTGAGGGACCTGTTTGGAACTGATGCTGTCTAGCTGGGTGGGGACGTGAAAGATGAACAGCTACAGTCAGGGCTCGTGGGAGCAAGAGCAAGGGCTCTGAGATATGTCTGGCTCACTTCAGTACAGGCTGCATCAGAGACGCAGGAGTGTTTGAGGTTGGGTTTGATTCAGCTGGGGAACAGGGCTGAGGTGAGAATGGATGCTGTGGCTGGGCCGTGTTGTCCTGACCCCTCCTGTGGGCACCCACCCCAGAGGACCACGAGGGAAGCTCAGCAGGCAGCAATGCACTCCAGGAATAGCTCCTCGGTTTCAGCAACCCACAGCTCTTTGCAGCAATTCCCAGGGCTTCCTGAGGCCACCCTTGGTGTGGCAGGCCACGGTGGACCCCTCAAGGCTGGTCCCCACTGCATCCTGAGCTCGGGCAGGTTATTGCCACCAGCCCCAGCTTGAATTTGCTTAGGGACAGGACACAAAAGTTGCAATATTTATTAGACTGGAACAACTCTAATCTAGAAACTCTTTCAGTTTGCACAGGTGAATCACAAGGTGTTAAGCAGTTAAACCACTACCTTAGAAATAATATGTATAAAAGAAAAGCTATTTAGCCAACAGATGATGAAGCCTGCAGCTGTTTACATTTAAGATTATCAAATCAACTCTTCCTCTTGCTCTCATATATATCCTCAATGAACTGGGATCCTAAATGGCCTCAGAAATCCCCCTTTCAAGCCTACTTGCTAAGTGTAACTTAGGTAGGGGCGCAGACATGGCCACGTGGACTGGGGAAAGCAGCACAAAAAGACCCGAGCTGACTACCAACACAGCCCCAGCTGCAGGGCCATTGCGGAGCGAGCGCTGCACCCTGGGCAGAGCTGACACCCTTTTCACCTTTGCAGATGCACGCAATGGGGGACTGCTGCAGTGCCAAGGGGGACCTAGCCCAGGCAGTCCCTCGCCCACCTTCTGACAGTCAGTGGGACCCCCAAGAGCTCGCCCTTTCCCGGAAAGCCCTTATGCTCAGCTGCAGAGTGATAATGTTAGAGGAAGGGTGATGGCAGCCAGCGTTTGCTGCTCACAGGCCTTCTGCAACCGGCCGGAGGACAGGCTGGACCAATGCACTGTTACCAACGCTCTGCCTAAAAGCACAGGGAGTCAGGTGGTGGCAGAAGGGGCCTGTACAGCAGCGCACAGCTCTGCCTCTGCTCTCCACTGGACATTGGCACCTTGTTCAATGTCGTTATGCTGACTGTGCTCATAGGGTTAGTTTGCTTCACTAGAGGGGAGAAATAGAGAGTTTTTGTGACCTTTAGCCTACCTTGTGCCACTGACACTCTCACTCCTGTGACTGCCAAGAAAAAAAATTTCTGTTTTTAATATTCCCTTTTTATTTTCATCAACACCTTGTGGAAAAATTCAGATATCTCTCCATAACACTTAGAACTTCAAGGAGCTCACAGTGAGAAACAACTGCAAGACTTGAAGGTGGTGCCGGACAGTGAGGGACATTATTGCCATTATTCACGTGCTGGCAGTGTTCCCAGTGCATAACAGAAAACTTGCATTTTCAGGAGGAACTAGCTATGTTCCCCAGTGAAGTTCAGAGGTGGGGCAGGTTCAGGAGGGTTTTGCTTTTACAAAAAAAACTTTAAAACAGCCTTGGAAAACCAGCTGCAATTCATGAAGCACGAAACATATACACAGATAGCGAGGGCAACACACAGGTCAGTATTTTATGAGAAAGCAGGCTGAGCCAGAACTCTTCTGACTGACAAATCTTTCTGCAACTCTGACCAAGGGACAGGAACTCCATGTGGCTATTTGTAGTTCATTCCCAAATCACAACTTTACTTGAAACAAGAGATTGTGAATTCACTGGACTTAAAACAATTCAGTATTTTAGGACTTGCAAGCCCTCTGAGAATTTCTCAGTAAGAGAACAACAGACAACAGCAGATCTCTACACAGTGGATCTGAAGCCTACTGACAACAAACTCTCTTTTCTGAGGCTGTGCAGTGGTATTACTCCACAGATTTTTCTCAGAGGTCAGTTGAAAACCACAGCACTGGAGCTAACACACACTGGCAATTCTTTCTCCTCAGAAAACCCTATAAAGCACACAGAACCTCTCTCTTACTTGTGCCAAGATGCGTTACTTCCCCAGTGGCCAGTCAACCTGCATTTCAGGACATGTGTTTTGTTCACTCAGCAAGTACCAGTTGATCTAGATCAACTAAGTAAGTAAGTAAGTCAGTTATGTCTTCTTGTTGACAGAGCATCTAACCCTGGCACTGCAAAGACATTAAGGCCACTTAGGATCCCTTTTCACAGATCAACGAGACCTAAAAATTAACCAAGAAATCCTCCACAGTGGTTGAAGATGGATCACCATCACCTTCAATACCTGTTTGTATCCTGTAGTCGGTAACAGGTTCTTGTTCTGGCTTTTTCAATAGACCTAAGACTTTTATTGTTCCTAATCTGTGTGTCTCCTTCGCTCAGCACCATGTGGGTCCTGGACACCAATTTAACACAGCTAGGGCCAGCATATTGATCTCATCTTCCAGGAGAGCCAGGGTGAACACCATGGCAAGGTCAACTCTAAGCTTGGACACCAATGGCCAAATTAGTGAAGGAAATAAGTGACCTATCCATGCCACCCATACTGTGAGATCTGCTGGGATAAATAAGTGCTCACAATATTTTGGCCTCTCTCTGTTAACCGCAAGGAAGTGGAGGGCATTCCACAAACAGAACTATAACACAAGCAAAGTATCCATTAAAAGATTTATTTTTTATTTCCATAATCTCAGAATAACTCAGATATCTACATTTCCTGATGAAAGTAAAAAAAGCCTATCTGTGGGAGGAAACCCCCAGGTGTTGTTAGCCTGTTCTCTGCTCCTTGATATTGGTTAAAAAAATCCCTCTTGCTGAGTTCCAGGCCAAATCAATAGGTAAACATTAGTCATCAGATGTGCCATCAGCTGGTAAAGCTTTTGGAATTGCTTTTCCTTTCTACAAGCCAACTCAAAGAAAGGTTCAAACTACTATTAAATCTGTTACAGTTCTGATGAGGTTCAGCA